CACAGGGACAGATCATGGAAATAGTACCTCATGGGCCGTTGACTGTCGTGATGACCTGGACGCGTTAGCCAACGCCGACCTCAAGGTCGACAAGGTTTGGAGTGACCGAAAACATGTGCTACAACCTGCCGAGGACCCAAATTCGGCAGGATGTGCTTCAAGATCCGCGTTGACCGCATGATGGACGTTCTCAGCGAGGGGGGAGCAATGAAGGTGGCAACCTGTCTGAGCAGTTCCGGTATGACAACAACGCTTGCGAATCGAGTATCTACGGCACGTGATCACCATGTCCCGTGCAGACCACCTATGATGGCCCGCCAGAGCCACCTCCTCTGATTTCAAAGATGGGGAAAGCTGCTACCGTTGTGGGCTGTGCGGCCGCAGGGGCTCCGAGCTTAACGACCATTTGCCACACGTGCTTGCACACGATCCTGGGCCGAATGATGTCTTGGAAGGCGGCGGCGAGAGGCGCAGGAGTCGGCAGGCAGGGAAGCGAGACGCCGGATGCAACCCAGAAAGCGGGGGCACCAGCAGAAAAGCAGCCACGTGGAGGCCGGGAGAAAGGAGCTGGCAGATCGAGTGGGGCAGGCGAAGGCGCGACGGCGGAAGAATCATGCAAAAACTCACTTTGAACACGGCCCAGATGATGCGCCTCGTGCCAAGCAGCCTGTGGGACTTCTACCTGGTCGAGGGAGAGATCGAACCAGTCAACGCATCAATGGCAGCAATAATGAACTACGCAGGGGAGGTTAAACCAGGCGACAGCAAGCAGATCGGCCCTCCGAACTTGCACGTGGGAGTGGACTTCTTCATCGACCTGGCCAGGACCACGACGATAGAGGGAGAGACCACGCGCGTCCTAGCAGAGTTCAGTATGCTGATCGAGGAGCTCGGCATGGACGAGCTTGCGGACATTCCGATGTACTTCAGGTTGAAGAATGGCTACAGCGAAGCAGGCAACCATGAGGAGCCGATAAAGATCGGCAGATTTCACATTCAAGATCTCCGCGATGCGACCGGCAAGGCGCTGCTGCTCGCCAAAGCGGAGCAAATCTTCGGAACCCCGCCACTGTCCGCGCTGGAGAGGCAGCTGCCGGCGGGCGCTCCAGGCTCGGCAAGCGGCGGTGGGATAGGAGGTTGAGCGAGCGTCGACGTGAGCGGGTTAAGAACCTTAGCGCAGCAAGGTTGCAATCGAGCCCGAGAGTTACTTGCCAAACTCGGGTTTGACTGTTGAACATTTTGATCGTTCTTAGGGGAGGGGGGGAAGGGATTGAGGAGGACGGGGAGTGGGGCACAGTGACACTATGCCAAATGATGTAGACGGGTCTTGCACAGTTTATTTATGTTAAACTACAGTTTTTCCTGAGCAGGAGGTGGTGGGCCAAAGTGCAATGGGCCCTCTCTCTTCCATGACGATTTGTTTGTGTCAGGGGCTCGGCATCGAGCTGACGCAGGCCCATAGGGTTCAACAAACCAGGGGCCCCGGAGGCTGTCCCCTGTAAGTGCCGATGATAAAATTCGATTGCCAAGCGAGCCGAATCCTTTGTTGCTGCGAGGTGAGAACTCACTGCTGCCAATACTTCCGATTTCTTTCTCCTCCTCCGCCTCCTCCTCCTCCTACTTATCCTTCTCCTCCTCCTCCTCCTTCTCCTCTCTTCCTCCTCGTCCAGCACATCCCCCCCTGCTGACTTCGTCCAGCTCCTCCTCCCTCACTTCAACCTGTCCCTCCTGCTCCTCATCCTCATGTTCCATCCTATTCCCCCTCCCCCGCTTCTCCTCCTCCTCAGCCTCTTCCTCCTTCTCCTCCCCCTCCTCCTCTTCCCTTCTCCTCACCTCTGTTCCGTCTCCCCTCCGAAGCCTCCGCCCCGCTGCTCCTGTTCCTCCCCCATCCCTCTCCTCTTCATTCCGTCGCCTTTTCCGGCTTCTGCCAAAGGCCTGTGAGCCATTACCGCTTGGCTCGTAGCGCGGTGATTAATCAAGGTCTTGTAAATGGGGACCTTGGTAAACCAAGACATTGGCGAGTACTATAGAACTCCAACCGTGTGTCTCTGGTGATCTGCTGACCTGGGTCAATCTAGACCTGAGTCAGTCGGGCCTTGCAGGATCCTGCAGGATGCTGCAAGATCCTGCGCCAAAGCCTGGGTCAATGCGACCCTCGCCCTGCAAGATCCTGCACGATCCTGCAGGATCCTGCACCCAAGCCCTGGTCAATGCGACCCTGGCCCCCCGTCTCAAGGCTCCCGATGTCGAGACACCCTCCAAGATTTGGCGTCCACAGCTGAAATTTTCGCAGACCTGGTCTGCAAAATCCTGATCTAACAAGCCCTGACTTCCGCAAGTGAAGTTCAAGCCGAGTGGATGGCCCATGGCTTCGACGATGACGGGGTGCAGCCCGGGTGCGTGGCAACCCCGTGCGCGGCGCGCTGCTTGGATCAGACGGTTGGGACCCAACGGTGACTAGGCGCGGCGCCGGCAAACGGCCCTGGCAGCGCGCGCTGTGGGCCCCCCCTCCAGCGGCCCGCGGCGAGCGCTGGGCTCAAGGCTCCCGGTGGGGCCGCGAGGCTGCGGCACGGCCTGCCCTCCGCCGCCTGGTCGAAGGTGGGGAGGGTGCTCCGAGGGTGCTCGGACGGGGCGGAACTCAGCCTGGCACGCGGCCGCAGTCCCGCCCGACGTTGCGGGACCTGGGGCTGCAAGTCACGAGGCTGGCGAGGCGGCGCTGGCACATAGCCGCGAGGTGGCGCAGCAGCTCCTCCAATGGGCGCGCGCCCGTCGGGGCCAACGATTCGCGCGGCTGCGTGCCCGCCTCGGTACGGGCTGACGTGCCATCCGCTTCGGACCAGCCACGGCACCCCGATGGCCGCGCTGCATGGTCGCGGAGGCGCCCCCTCTCTCCTTCTCGGGCTGCCTGGCCCAGGCTTGTTGGCCAACGGCACGCTCGCGCACGATGGCCGTTTGCTCGAGCAAGTTCATGATGGTGTCCGTCCTCCTTTGGTGCCGCTCCATGAGGCAGTTGTGTTCGTCAAGTTCGGGTTCCACGACGGAGAGCAGCTCTGAGTGCGGATCCCACCCTGCGGCGTCCTTCTCAGAGTCCCGCTCGTCAAAATCTTGGTGGTCCACCGAGGATCGTCTTCGTCGTCCTTATTCTGTGGACGGCGGTCCTCCTCATCCGAGTCCTGCTAATAACGAGGCCGCCGCTGCAGATGAGGCCAAGCACGCCAAGGCCTGCTGGCAACGTGCCGAGGATGCCTGGCAAGGGTGCCGACCGCCTCGTCCCCCTCGGAGACCTCATCGCTGTCGCCGATCTGGTAGGCGAGGCCTTCGGGGTCGGCAAGCCAGCTGGCGCTCAGTTTGACGAGGTGGGCGCCCGCGCCAGAGTTGGGTTCGCTGGAAGCGGAGGTCAGCCGCCCCCCCCCCTTCGCACAGACAGCGTTATGAGCCAGGGGGTGCTGCGCTACCACGTCGTAAAAGAACGCGTGAAGGGTACGGCTCCACAGCTCTTTGCCGTTAAGTGTCTGGTGTGCCTTCTTCGCCGCTTCGGTAGACCCGTAGCGGACATGAGCACAGAGTTGTTCAATTCTGGTGGCGGTGATGCGACCGATGATAAAGAACAAGCACGTCGCCTGCAAGCCAGATTGGTAGAACGAGCGTGGGTGTTCATTGCCCATACGCCAAATGCCCAAAACGCTAAACCACAAGGCCTTGCCATCTCTTGGGGGGGCCGTTTTCACTTCCGCCGGCTTCCGCCCGCGGCGGAGGCCTCGTTTCACTGCCGCCGCCTTCCGCCAGTATTCTGCCGACGTCCGCCGAGGAAGGTACGCTTTGTCCTTCGACCATCGCAGGCGAGGCTGTTTCTGGAACGCCTCACCTGGCTGATGTAGCCGCAAGGTGCTTCCGGTCCCCACAGCGGGGCCATCGGCAACCTTGCGACTGGCACGAGGGCGTCGGCCGCCCTCCCGTCGGAGGCCTCTTGCTCTCATCGGGCAGCGGCGTCGGCCACCCCCTCGTCAAGGGCCCTGCATCCTTGGTGCGCAGGAGGTCTGGCCACCCTCTCGTTGGAGGCCCTGCGCCCGCGACTAGCAGGGGCGTCGGCCACCCCCTTGGTCGGGGGCCCTGCTCGCTGGGTGGGCAGAACTCCCTTCGGAGGCCCTGCTCTCGCTGGAATCGCGCTGGCGATTCTGCTGCGCATGACGGGCGGCTCTTCGACGGAGGGCGGCCTCTGAAACTGCATGGATGAGGTGCGCCTCTGGGTATGCCGCGCCAGGGGTTACTGGCGGCGCGCGCCAGGGGGTAGGGGGAGGGGGGGAAGCTTCTTAGAAATAAACCGCTTATTAGAAGGCGCCGGCACTGCATCTGTAGAGAAGGCCCGCGCCGTCTAAGAATCAGGGCGCTTGTAAGAAGCCCTTCCCCCTCCCCCTGCCCCCCTCTGCGCGTGGCTGAGGGTAGGTTGCGTGCCGAGTTGGTGCTCCCCAGCGGTTTGCTGGGCCACTGCGTCGTCTCTTGACCACCAGCGGCCTTCGGTTTCACGGGTCATGATGATGGGGATCTGCACGACCACATTTTGACGAGGCGAGTGGGCATGGCTAAAGCCCATGATAATGGCGATGGCCGCACGGAGCTTAGGCCTCGACGCCCCGATCTCGTTCTCGAAGTCGTTCTTCGTCTTGAAGCGGCCGTCGGTCGGAACCCCCAGACGATGATCGCGGATGGACCTCGCCTCATGGCAGATGCCGCGCCTGGGCGCCGTCGCGAGAATGTGGTCGATGGCCTGTCCCTCGACGGAATCAATCGGGCGTGGCGCCTCCTCCTCCTCCTTCTCCTGCTCCCTCACCTCCTCCTACCCCACCTCCTCCTGCTCCTCCTCTTCCTCCTTCTCCTCCTTCTCCTCCTCCTCATCCTCCTCTTCCCCCTCCTCCTCATCCTCATCCCCATTCTCCTCGTATTTTTTCGCGCCTCCCCGTCTACACCCCTCTCAATAACGACGGCGACGACTGCGGCGGAGCCTCCGCGTTTCCGTCGGCGGCCGCTTCATCCACCTCGGCGATCGGAGACGGCGCCGACCGCGTCCGCCTCGGGCGCCCCGGCGCACCCCGCCGACGACGGCGACGGCCACCGAACGGCAGCTGCGGCGGCACAGAGGCGACGAGCGGCGACGACGGCGGCGATAACGCCAGCGACGCATCCAGGCGGTCGCCAGGAGCGGCGGCGACGGTGACGGGGTCGGCGGCGATGGCGACGGCGACGCAGCGGCTGCGAAGAAGGCGACTGGGCGTGCACTGGAGATCAGTTCTGGGCTGCCCGTCGCCTCGAGGACGACGGGAAAAGAACAAAAAGAGGGGAACGGGCAGGGGACGCGGCAGGACGGGGTCGGTATCTGTTACGATCCGGTCATGTCAATGGTACAAAGAAATATTGGGAGGATGTGGAGGAAGACGCAGAAGACGGCGAGCTGGAACTAGAGCCGGAAGAGGCAGCGGAGGATGAGAACAAAAATGTCGCCCCCGATGCCGACAACGGCGGCGACGAGGACAAGGAGGAGGAGGAGGTGGTGGAGCGTGGCCCAGTGGGCGGTCCTCGTTCAGGCCTACGAGCTCAGCCACGCAGACGGCCAGGACGGTCCGATTGCGTGAGCTTCAGGGCCGCCCGCACGGCATCAGCCACTCCTTCAACATTGACTCAGCGGGATGGCTCACGATGAGCAGCAATTCGATGAGTATGGAAATTAGCCGCCACGGCATCGAGCTCGCGGGCCCAATGCTCATGACTGGGGGAAAGTCCCGACGCACCGCGGGAGCCCATGGGACGACGCGGCCGAGGGCTCCTGTCACGATCAATCCAACACGAGAGCAACGGAGCACTCAGTGCTCGAGGTGGTCGGGCCCTCCACTCCCGAAAATACAGAACCTACCAAAGCGTTGCATGCGGTGATGAGTGGTCCATCCGCCTGGTCCTTCCGCCGAACCACGTTTTCGAGGCGGCAGACGCAACAGCCCTAGGGACCTCACTCAAAGCTTTCCGACCACCTCCCACTCCACCCCAGCCGCAACCAACGGGCCTCCGAACCACGTCTGGAATCTAACTATCAGGAGCTGCTCAAGGCATGGCGGAAAGAGCGTGGAAGAGAAAACGTTGAGAAACTTGCCTTGACACTTCGGCCACAGCTTGGCCACGCGGCTCTTGAAGGCAGCGAGGCATCGGCTCCCAGAAAGCTCTAAATTGGACCCTGGAAAGTCTCGGTGAGCAAATTCGAGGCTGAGAGCGATCGGAGCCGAAGGCCACCCGAGGGGCAGGGGCCTCGACGGGGGGAGCGAAGAAAGACCTCTATCGGCTTCGGTAGCACTGCGCAGCATCTCGAGGCTACTCCGCCACGACGAGGCGGTACCGAGAGCCCTGCGCATGGCAGCGACGCCGCTCAGGGCCATGCTGCTGACGACCTCGGGCCCATTACAGGTCTTCAAATCGAACCGCGCCGAGTGGGGCAGTAAACCATATTAGGTCCGCCACGTCGAGGAACACAGCAATCGTTCGTTCAGCCAGATCGGCAGGCAGCGCTGACGATATAAATAAAAGGCTGAACACGAAACCACTGATGATCTCACATACATTGTCACAGGCTCAGGAAGCTTCCCACACGGTGCCCGACACTGACCATCCATTGTGACGGCAGGCGCCCAGGTGCGCGAGCTGCGATGCGACCGAGACCCTCTCCCACCCGTACTGAGCAAGGGAGGCGGCCATCTCCTGCTCGACGGTGTCCGAGAGGGGCTCGAATAGCGGGATGACCACACACTTGGATGCCTTGAAGACCAGCGTCGCGAGGCGAGAGCCGAGGCTGAAAATCCTCTCGGGCGCTCGAAAAGCGTCGGCCTCACGCAAGACAGCAAGCGCGTCATCTGCCCCTGCGAAGGCCATCCCACGGCCGTTCTTCTGAATGCTGCTCATCATGCCAAGATGCCAACAATCAGCCGCCAGCACGAAGACGGAGCCACTCAGTGGGCACCCCTGAAGCACCCCGCTCATCATCCAGTGCACAGGGTGAGCAGCGCCCCCGACGGCCAGCCAACACAAGTTCACCTCATAGAACTGCTCGGTGTTTGGGAGCAGCCCTGCAGCGAGACGATGGGGCCGCGTGCGCAGCAGAGCCCGCGACTGCCTGGCGCTGAGGACGGCCGGCGCGAAGTCGAAGGCCAACATGCTGGGCACCCACTCCTCAGGAAGCCAACGCCACGACGCGGCTTCTCCTTTTCCTCCTCCTCCTCCTCCCCCTCTCCTCCTCCGTCCTCCTCCTCCTCCGTCCTCCTCCTCCTCCTCCGTCCTCCTCCTCCTCCTCCTCCTTGTCCTCCTCCTCCTCCCCCCTCCTCCCCCGCCCGAGGCCGAGGCGGCCGCGATGGCGGCGCCGCGCAGCCCTTGCGCTGGAGGCGGACGGGGTTCCCCGCAGGCAACACCTGCCGATGGATTGAGGGGAGGGGGAGCAGGGAAGCAGGGAGAGGAGGAGAAGGAGGAGGAGGAGGAAACATGAGAGGAGGGGGGGGGGAAACTGAAGAGGAGGAGGGGGAGGAGGAGGGGGAGGAGGGGGAGGAGGAGGAGGAGGAGGAGGAGGAGGAGGAGGAGGAGGAGGAGGAGGAGGAGGGGGAGGAGGAGGAGGAGGAGGAGTGAACTCGCATCGGGGAACGGTAGTAATCGAGCTGACCCGACATCGTTTGCTGCCTTTGGCCGCTGACCTCCTGTGCTCTGGCATAACCAGCAAAGAAAACGACTTGGACGTGGCCACACCTTCACTGGGCTGGGTCGCGCATTGCCGGGGCGAAAACACGGGAGTGGCTCCCATGCCCCCTCACAAGCTGCTGGTTTCTGGCACGACCGCACTCGATCATTAGAGTCAGCGCGGAAGACCTGTGCCGAACATGGTGGTACGGGCTATACACTAGATCGGTATTCCAAACAATCCAGACGAGGGCAAGCGTGGGCATGGAAGAAAGCTTGCATAACTGTCGACGATCTCATACGAGCTACCGTACACGGGAGCACATGGGATATCAGGAATGGAAATCAGAGATCGGCAAAACAAGTGCTATCAACCATGAGGCGCGGTGTATTTTCGCACTCATGCCTGCACGTAATGCAAAGTTTCGTTGAACCCCTTAAACCTGTCACTGCAGGCCCACAAACTACATAGGGTTTCCAAAAGGAATGGCAACACGCGCGACTTGACCTTTTCGGCAAACTTCCAAACGCTAAGCTTCAAATTGTGCATATCAGCAATCGACAATTCGGGGCTCAGTTTGCTCACTCTGGGGGGCGATCATCACGCACGAGGATTTCTCGTACAATTTGGTCAGATATTTCTCCATGTGGGAGCTTGGGGGGTGGCCCGGAGAAAACGGTATTTGTCTCACGGGTCTGTCATAATTCTTCCCTGTCATGCAGCGTGGCTCTGCCAGAGGATGCAGCAGTCGCCATAACCACAAACTTGAAACAGGAGCTCCCTCACATCTGAAAACGATGAGGTCCCTTCAACGATTCGAAATCGAACACCCTGACTAATTACTGGTTTCTGGCACTGGCAACCTGGAACTACGGGTCCCGTGAACCTGGATTTGAGATTCTTGAAGTCCTCCGAAGGGTTGGCATTGGAAGGTCCCCTGCAGATCACTTGGACCATCAACCTCTCCTCTTTCAAAACGGACAGACTGGGATCATACATTTGACCGGCGAAACTACAAGTCGAAACGCACAACAGATTGTAGTGACAGATATATTGGGTCAGCTCGAGGTCCAGGCCGTGAACCATTCGAGCACGTGTGGCGAACTTGCTTAGAGGGAACTTCCAGCACTCCTGTTGCCCCCCCGCACCGAGCATCACAACTAGGTAGTTAGCACATTTCGAAACGTGAAGTCCTCGAGCAAACTTTCCAAGATGTCCGATGTTACCTCTGAGCTCCTCCCCCGAAGAAATCCTCAAGAGAGCCACGACCTTTTTCTTGACATGGCTGTGCGCCTATGTGTGGCCCCAGCGAGGATCTATATGTCCATGGCGATGGAATATGCTGAGCTCGCGTCGCTGCTGGCGGTCCCGCTACCGTCGGCAAAGGCGCCAATCTCGTGAAACGGCCGAAACATTTTGTTGGCCAGTATGCGAATGCTCGGATCGTGCGCCAGCGCAAACAGTGATCACGACATCGGGCATCCTGGTCCCCCTGGCTGCGAATGCCACGGATGGGGCCACGACGAAGACATGATGACACATAGCTCTGATAGCCGTCAGGGCCTCTCGGAGGAGGGGGAAAGGACTTGCGTATAGGACTTGCGGCTGGGACTCCGGCCCTCAGGCAGCGTTCACATCCTGGCGTGGTTGGGCAACCGCCCTGCTGGACATACGGCGGCCACGCCGGGAGCTGAACGTCACCGCAATGCCGTCCGTCCTACCTCCTGGGGGAGGGGAGGAGGAGGGGGGGGAGGAGGAGGAGGAGGAGGAGGAGGAGGAGGAGGAGGAGGAGGAGGAGGAGGAGGAGGAGGAGGAGGAGGAGGAGGAGGAGGAGGAGGAGAGGAGGGAGGAGGAGGAGGAGGAGGAGGAGGAGGAGGAGGGGCGCCAGACCCGATGCAGGCCTGGACGGTTTGCGCGTTTTCAATAGGCATTCTTCTGTGAAGGCCGAACGAAACCGAAAACGGATCAGAAAACAAAAAAAACGCAAACACCGCAAAACAAAAAAAAACTTTCGAATATAAGATGGCGGTCGACCGCGGAATTCTATCTGATTTTTTCGGGGGGAAGGCCTCACAACAGGAATCCTTTGGAAAACACCACAAAAGGATTCCATGGGAAAACCTCACAATCGGCATCCTTTGGAAAGCACAACGAAGGGAGTCGATTGGAAAGTCTCACAACAGGAATCCTTTGGAAAGCGCCACAAACGAATTCGATTGGAAAACCTCACAGCCAGAACTCCATTGGAAAGCGCCACGAAAGGATTATATTGGAAAGCCTCACAACAGGACTCCTACAGAAAGCGCCACAAAGGGATTCTGTTGGAAAGCCTCACAGCCGGAACTCTATTGGAAAGCGCCACGAAGGAATTCTATTGGAAAGCCTCACATCAGGACTCCTTCGGAAAGCGCCACAAAGGGATTGTATGGGAAAATCTCACAGCAGGAATACTCTGGAAAGCGCAACAAAGGGATTCCAATGGAAAGACTCACAATCGGAATCCTTTGGGAAGCACCAAGAACGGATTCTATTGGAAAGCCTCACAACAGGAATCCTTCGGAAACCGCCGCAAATGGATTCGATTGGAAAGCCTCACAGCAGGAATCCTCTGGAAAGCGCCACGAAGAAATTCGATTGGAAAGCCTCACAACAGGAATCTTTTGGAAAGCACAGCGAAGGGATTCGATTGGAAAGCCTCACAGCAAGAATCCTTTGGAAAGCGCAACGAAGGGAGTCTATTGGACCGCATCACAATCAGAATTCTTTGGACAACGCCACAAAGGAATTCGATTGAAAAACCTCGGAATCTGAATCCTTTGGGAAGCGCCACGAAGGAATTCTATTGGAACGCCTCATACCAGGAATCCTCTGGAAAGCGCCACGAAGGGATTGCATTGGAAAGTCCACAACAGGAATTCTTTGGACAGCGCCGCAAAGGGACTCTATTGGAAAGCGCCACAAGTGGATTCTATTGGAAGGCCTCACAACAGGAATCCTTCGGAAACCGCCAGAAAGGGATTCTATTGGAAAGCCTCACAGCAGGAATCCTCTGGAAAGCGCCACAAAGGGATTCTACTGGAAAGCCTCACAACGGGAATCCTTTGGAAAGCGCCACGAAAGGATTAGATTGGAAAGCCTCACAGCAGGAATCCTTTGGACAGCACCACAAAAGGACAACCTGCTTCGCAATCTCTCGCATGTTGCCGGGATGTCTGCACGCCTCCTCAGCGCAGCACCCCGAGGGCGCATGCCGTCGTCAGCAACTTGCCCCCTGAAAAGCAGGAGGGGCCCCAGGGTCATCGTCGGGTGATCAGCCCGGTCCGCTCTGGGCCCGAAAACGTAAAAGCATGCTTGTCCAAACGCGCTGTGCCGGTCTATGTCTCTGGCTGCCTGCATCTATGTCATCTAGTGGGCTGTGGCCGACGGCCCCGCGCCAACTCCTCGCGCTGAACTCTGCGTGGCGGAGCCGACCCACTGACCCCCGCGAGTGCTCGGGCAGGGGAACGAAACGGGGCTGAGTGCGATTCCTGGCGCACGCGCAAGGGGCTTGGCCCCCTTGCTCCTCGCAGCGGGTGGGGGCTGGCTCAGCCTGTACACCTGGATCCAAAAGCAGGCGGGCTGAGGCGGGGCGCGCCTGGCTGCGCCCCCTCGTCACCATGTGCTTCTCGTAGAGCACGCCCGTCGCGAAGCCCACGGCGATCAGGGCGATCGCTGCAAACACTTTGAACATCGCGCCGCAGGCCCCCGTCTGGCTCGCACCAGCCACGCAGGCGCCCGCGTCTGCTCCGCGCGCTGCCCGCGCCGTCGCACGCAGCCGCAGCGCCGCTAGGACCTGGGCGGCCTCGTCCGTGCCGAAGCCTGCCGCAGTCCTGCTCGCGACCCCGGGGCTCGCCACGCAGGCCTGCAGCGCCCCCTGGTCGAGCGCCTTCGCCCCTGCATCACTCGTGTTCTTCCGACCATAAACTCGCTCGATCTCGAACTGCTTCTCCCTCGGCGCCTGCTGATGCCAGAGATAGCGCGCATGTGGGCGTCGCGCGCGCCCGATGCCCACGCGGTGGATCACGCCGCGGGCCGCGCCCGAGTCCGCGCGGATGATCAGCTTCACGCCCGCTGGAAGGCCCGCTCCCAGCTCATCAATCTCGACCATCACCTGCTTGACTGCGATCCCCCGAGCTGCCGCCGAGCCGATCGCGTAGAACTCCGACTCCGCGCTGCTGAGCGCGACGGCCCCCCGGGTGATACTCCGGCTCTCGATGAGGTGGCAAGCGCTGGTGTCTCCGACCGGGATCGTGCCTGCCGACGTGCTCTTGCGCGTCTGGACGTCGCCGCTCCAGTCGCCGTCGGAGTGCATCGCGATGTCGTTCCAGGACGCCTGGTAGAGGAACTCGATGCCAACGTCGTGCGCCCCAGCCAGGTTGCGCGCCAGCCTCCGCAACCTCATCATACCCAAACGCGTCGGATGTGCCATGTCCGATGCCAACTGCTTCGCTGCGAACTGGATGTCGAAACGGTCTGGGCCGATGTGCATGCACGTGCCCGCCCCCTTGCAGTAGATCGCCTTCCCGGCCCGCTTCGGCCCCCCAAGTGCGTCTCGCGCGTTCTTGCCTGTCGCTCGGCTGGCAGGCGTCGGGGGCGGCTTCGCGCCCTTCAGGTCCAGCAGCGTGCTCAGGTTCTCGAAATGCTTCGGGTCGGGCAGCAGCATGAACCCGCTAGGGCCCCACAGTAGAAGCCGTCGTAGGACCAGACCCTTGTCCCCAGCTGCTGGTCCAACCCTTGGGGGGACCTTGGCCTTGGAGCTCCCCGTGATCATGGCGTCGACCTTGTCCTGCTGCTGCGGCTCGCCCTCGGTGTAGAAGTCGTCGCAGTGGAACCCCGACCGGCTGTCCCACTCGCTGCGATGCGCCACGCATCTCACCGTCGACAGGATGCCCCAGCCGCGCTCTCGGCACGCGCCACGCACCAACTCCTGGAAGTCTGCACTCGACTCCCTCATCCCGTGCAATGCCTTGCTCGCGGGCTAGAGCCAGTCTGGGCAATTCAACTCCGTCGGCGGCTCGGCCCAGACTGCCTCCTTCAGCTGCGCATGAAAGAATGCCGTCGAGATGTCGTGCGACGCAAGCTGCCTCGACTCTCTAAGCGATGCCAGCCTCGAGATCACCAGCTTCAGCGCCCGCGTCGGAGGTGCCCCTCCATAGTGTTCTGGCGCGAAGACGCCTCCTGCGAACTCCCGCGCGACGATCCGCGATCGCACGCAGTCTGGCCCCTTCCGCGCGTGGAAGAGCTTGGTGGAGATCACTCTCTCGCCTGGCGGCTTCTCGCTGCGCTTCTTCCAGACCATCGCCTCGGGCCCCTCCATCTCGCCGAGCTCGCGCTTCGCGCCCTCCAGCGCCAGCTCCTTCGGGTGCGCGTCCCCAGCGTGCTGGTCGTGGAAGCTGCCCGCGAACAGCTTCTCGTCGAAGGTCGGGGCGGGGGCAGAGCGCGCCGAGTGTCACGGCCTCGGCCTCTGGGTCGGTGTCCATGGGCGCAGCGGGGGCCGCGTCGATGACTGGCCTCTTCCTGGCTGGCTATCCGTCGTGGACTGCGTCACCTTCGCGCTTCGGACCACTGGCCGAACGTCCTGAACTCCTCCTGGTTCCAGCGCTCGCTCATCGCGTCTCTTGAATGACCTTGTGAACTCGATCCCTCGCGCTGCGCCCGCGACAACCTCATCGCTCTTGTCCCTCCGCCCGAGAAACACCCCCGAGGCCCAGCGTGGGTCGAGCTTCGACTGGCCCTTGCGAATCAGCCCGAAAGCCACCGTCTCGCCCGCGCCCGCGAGAGGCGACGCGAACTCCTCACCTCGCATTGTCGCCCAGGCTCTTCGACCATCACTTTTCAGAACGGACCTCGCGATGATGCGCGCCGAGGGTCTGACCGGCCACGGGAGGATCACCGACTGGTTCGCCGCCTCGGCATTGTACTTGTCCTCGATGACGGCCGCGCAGGTGCGAGTGAGCGACTCCGCCCAGCGCACCGCCACCTCGATGCCGCCGTTCGCCTTGCTGTCGTGCTTCGTGGATTTCCCGATCGCAGCGCGGTGGTGCTCGACTCGTCGCCGGCGTCGATCCACGGGCAGCGCCTGGGCGGCTGGCCCCTTGTCTGCCCTCGGCACGACCTCGCCGGCACCCCGCGCCTCGAGGTGGGAGAGCACGATCTCGACTGCAACGTCATCAATCCCCTTCTTCGCCACGCGCGTCGCCCCCGCGGCGCCAAGGGGCCTCGGCGCGAAGACCAGAACCGCGACCTTCTGCAGCTCCCCTTCGCGCGCCCGGAAGCAGCAGTCCAGCGCGAGCTTTGGAACCGTCGACTCCGTGGACTGGCTCTCGTAGGGGCCCTCGGTCGCCCGGCCCGTCAAGCAGCGCCTGCGCCGGGCGCGGTGCGGGCAGCGGGTCAGCCCGTGCCTAGCATTCGCCTCCGCGCTCGGCCACGGCGCGAGCGCTTTGGCAAGCGCGGGCCTGGCGCCCTCGCTCTCCTCGAGGTCGTCGCTGAACCTCGCGCGCTTCTTCGGCTTCTCACCCCTCCCCGTCGCCGCGCGCAGCTCGCCGCTGCTCGGGCGCCGCCGAGCTGGGATGGCGAAGACGCCGTGCTCGATGGGCCTGTTCTTGCCGACGCTGTCTCTCGCGACCGTCGCCAACTCCTGCGCGCGCCCGGGCTTCGCGATATAGCCCCCTCCGTCGTACAGCGACACTCCGTAGCCCGCGTCGACTGCAGAGCTCCCCGCCGCGATCGGCTTCCGCGCCCCTTTCGCCTCGGAGTTCACCGTCAGTCGCTCGCCCGAGCTCTGGTCCACCATGCTCACTTCCTTCCTGCCGTTGCGTGCGACCTCGTTGCCGTCCGCCTGGTAGAGCGCCGTGCCACGGCACCCCTCGACAGCAACCCCCGGGGCGCACGTCGGCGGGCGGGCACTCTTCGCCGCGCGGGCGTCGAAAAAGGAAGTCGAACTCGTCGCCCTCGAGCGCGCGGCAGCCCCCTATCACGATCGCCTCGTCGGTCAGGGCGAAGACGAAACCGCATGCCTCTTCGTAGTAGTCGTCATCAGACAGCGCCGTCAGCGCTGCCGCGTCCCCCTTCTCGGCGGCGGCACGCTTGCCAGTGATCTTGTCGACTGGATTGCCCATGTATCGCCCAGCCTTGTCTGGCTCGATGTCCTTATTCGCGCGGTCCGTCGCGGGCGCCCTGCACTCTGGCTTCGCGTGGTTCTGCTTGGCTGAGTAGAAGCAGGCCCTCTTTTTCCCGCCCTTGCCGCCGTGGTCCTTGCCTTTGCCTGACCTGCCCTGGCACTTTCCCTTGCAATTGCCGTCCCTCGTCATAGGGCGCAGCTCTCCCGTCACTGGGCCCAAGTCAATGGGCGCGGGCCCCTGCCCCTGGCTGGCGGTCGCGCGCAGGTGCGGGATCGCCTCGTTCCTGGCCGCTTCGTACGTCTGCAGGCGTCCCGCCTGCAGGTTGAGGTGGGTCCTCTGGTTGCCCTCCAAGAGTTTGCTGTTGAGCGTCGCTGGCTTGACCGTGCCGGCCATGGTGTCACCCGACTACACCTCATACTGCTTCAGCTTCCGCTCCCATGCATAGATGTTCTCGACGGCGTCTGGGCCACGCGTAGGGTCTAGCAAATGCTGCAGCATGCCCTGGAAGCGGCTGGGAAGCTTCGGCTCGAACTCGATACGCAACTGCCCCCAGGCCTCGATGCCCCATCCTTCGGGCGCCCGTTGCACGACTGACAGCGCTCGCCCACGACAGGTGAGCGCCAGCACGTAGAAGATCTGCGCCGAGAGCTGTCTCTCGTGGGGCTCGTGGGGCCCCATCTGATGTTACAAATGGGCTGGTCCTCATCTGTCCGTCTCGCCGCGAAGTCCAGAGCCTCCCTGCACGATGCGTCGAACGCTCCAGCATTGGCTCTGAACGTGACAGACCACTGCTGCCAAGCTAATACACCTTCTGGCTTGCCCTCGGTCGTCGCATCTCCTGAAAACGGCAGCGGCTTGCCGAGGGCCCGTGTGTCCACCAGCGCATTGCCGTTCTGGCCCGTCATCGGGGCTGGTGCTGCTGGTGGGTCCGCTGGGACTGCTGTCGTCTGGGCTGAGAGTCTGTCGACCACCGTTCTGGCTTCAACCAGCTGGCTCTGCAGCGCTGCCTCTGGGCGCTGCCTCTCCACTATCTGCTGCTCCGCGGCGACCACCCTGGCCTCTAGGGCCCTGAGGCCTCATCCATGGCTCGGGAAACACGCTTCGCGCTACCATGCTATGGCTCCTGGCACGGATGTTTTGACAAGCCAATGGCTGCAGACAACCTGTTTCGCAATCATTTGCATGTTGCTGTGCTGTCTGCAGAAAAAACAAAAACAAAAAACTCCCGAAAAACATCGAGCGGTCGACCACATAATTATATCTGAACGTTTTTCGTTTTCTGGGAAACACTACAATCGGAATCCTCTGAAAAACGCAACAAAGGGATTTCACTGGAAAGACCGCTCTCTTCTGCAATGCCAGCTCTGGTAATAAGTTGCAAACCCACGCAGGTAAGACGACCGGGCGCTCCCCAGATGACGAAACTTGCTGCTGCTCTACATGTCGACGATGGGATCCCCCCTCAGGCGGCGAGGTGATCATCACAATGGCGGAGGCCAGCACTGCCACGCCGCAGTTGTTTGCCTGTGGCCCCGGCGCTTCGGTAACCAAGGGTGGAACTCAGATGCTGTGAAACCGATGTCGCGCGCACTGCTCAAAAACTCTCCGAACCTGGACTCCATGACCCTGGTCTCCTGAACGAAGCTGGCCTTGGCTTTCACGACCGCTAAAACATCGACGATGGGACCGTCAAAGCCTGCACTGACCGCGTTCACCTGCCCAGCATCAGGAACGTCGTAATTGCATGTACCTTCCAAGGCACCCCTTGCAAGGATACTCCGCCCTGGCACTGCATGTTCACCACCGGGCATGCCGTTTTTTCCCCAAACAGCTTGCTGAACGGGGTGCTGTTGTGATAGAAGCTAATTCCGGCCGAGGGAAAGCTAAGCAGAGACATCCTCAAACAAATGTGGTGGTCCGGCCCGTTTCGCCTGAGACATCCTCGCAACTCTCGTTTCTGAGTTGTCCGGGATTGAGCGTTTCGCCTGAGACATCCTCCTAAATCTGAGCTCTGAGAGGCCGCGCGAGAGGTGGTCCGGGCCGTTTCGCTTGAGACATCCTCGCAACTCTGAGCTCCCAGATGCCGCGCGAGAGGTGGTCCGGGCCGTTTCGCCTGAGACATCCTCGCAACTCTGAGCTCCAAGATGCCGCGCGCGAGGTGGTCCGGCCCGTTTCGCCTGAGACATCCTCGAAACTCTGATCTCCCCGATGCCGCGCGCGAGGTGGTCCGGCCCGTTTCGCCTGAGACATCCTCGAACTTCTGAGCTCTGAGATGCCCTGCGCGAGGTGGTCCGGCCCGTCTCGCCTGAGAAATCCTTGCAACTCTGAGATCTGAGATGCCGTGCGCAAGGTGGTCCGGCCTGTTTCGCACAAGATATTCTCGCAACTCTGAGCTCTCAGATGCTGCGCAAGAGGTGGTCCAGCCTGGGGGCCCAGAAGGCCACATGTTACATATCCTCCATGGGACCCTGCGAGCCTCAGGAGGCCCCAGAGAGGTCCAGGAGGCCGCAGGACGCCCAGGACAGGCCCCAGGGGCCCCCAGGAGATTCCCAGGAGGCCCCAGGAGGCCCTCTATCAGAACGTGTCAAGTTAATACACATCCGGTGTCGATTCGTTGATTTTTCCTGCTCTTGTGCCCCCCCCTCCATTTGGAGAGGCCCAAGCGGCCACAGGTTAGATATCCCCCCTGGGAGCCCCAAGATGCTTCAGGAAACCTCAGGTGGAGTTCAGGAGGCCACAGGAGGCCCAGGAGGAAGCTCCAGGAGGTCCCCAGGAGGCCCAGGAGGCACCAGGAGGCCGCAGGACGCCCAGGACAGGCCCCAGGGGTCTCCAGGAGATTCCCAGGAGGCTCCCAGGAGGCCCCAGGAGGCCGCTTATCAGAACGTGTCAAGTTAATACACATCCGGTGTCGATTCGTTGATTTTTCCTGCTCTTGTGCCCCCCCCCCCCCCTCCATTTGGAGAGGCCCAAACGGCCACAGGTTAGATATCCCCCCTGGGAGCCCCAAGAGGCTTCAGGAAACCCCAGGTGGAGTTCACGAGGCCACAGGAGGCCCAGGAGGAAGCTCCAGGAGGTCCCCAGGAGGCCCCACCAGGAGGCCCCCGCAACTCGGAGCTCTGAGACGCCGCGCTCGAGGTGGTCCAGCCCGTTTCGCCTGAGACTTCCTCGCAGCACGTTTCGCCCGAGACATCGTCGCAACTCTGGGGTCCGAGATGCCGCGCGCGAGGTGGTCCAGCCCGTTACGCTGGAGACATCCTCGCAACTCTAGGCTCCGAAATGCCGTTCGCGATGAAGAGGAGGTGGAGGAGGAGGAGGAGGAGGAGGAGGAGGAGGAGGAGGAGGAGGAGGAGATGGAAGGGAGAAGGAGGAGGCGGATGATGTGCATGAGGGAGCAGGCAGGAGGAGGGGGAGGTCCCAGAGAGCTTCAGGAGGCCGCAGGACGCCCAGGACAGGCCCCAGGGGTCCGCAGGAGATTCCCAGGAGGCTCCCAGGAGGCCCCAGGAGGCCCTCTATCAGAACGTGTCAAGTTAATACACATCCGGTGTCGATTCGTTGATTTTTCCTGCTCCTGTGGCCCCCCCCTGTATTTGGAGAGGCCCAAACGGCCACAGGTTAGATATCCCCCCTGGGAGCCCCAAGATGCTTCAGGAAACCTCAGGTGGAGTTCAGGAGGCCACAGGAGGCCCAGGAGGAAGCCCCAGGAGGTCCCCAGGAGGCCCCAGGAGGCACCAGGAGGCCCCCGCAACTCGGAGCTCTGAGACGCCGCGCTCGAGGTGGTCCGGCCCGTTTCGCCTGAGACTTCCTCGCAGCACGTTTCGCCCGAGACATCGTCGCAACTCTGGGGTCCGAAATGCCGCGCGCGAGGTGGTCCAGCCCGTTACGCTGGAGACATCCTCGCAACTCTGGGTTCCGAGATGCCTTTCGGGATGAAGAGGAGGTGGACGAGGAGGAGGAGGAGGAGGAGGAGGAGGAGGCATGTTTTAACACGCCATGCCAGCCCGCACTAGGCGGGCACGCAATCGACCTTGGAAACCGCAGTGGGTCTAAAAACCCGGTTTGGGGATACTGCACTCCGGCTATAATAACCCTTTTGGGGCGGATGCTTACGGTCAGGAGCGTTTGCCGAACGTGTCGTGCCGTAAGCTCTGGCCCGCCACGCTTCGGCGAGACACGCTAAACTCGTCCCGAGCCCCTACGAAGCAGAACGGCACGTCAAAATCTTGCAAGGCATAACGTATCGCATGGGCCGCCGCCACGAGACGCTTAACAAACGCTCCTGATCGTAAATGTCAGGACGGGCCAAAATGATGCTTCGATCGCGACGCCCTGCGACGACTTCTGGGCAAACGGCAGGAGAAGGAGTAGGCCTCCTCCTCCCCCCGATTTTCTCCTCAAATCACTCCTGGAACCCGTTCTGACCAGGGTCCCGACGTTTACAGCCTCGGCGACGAGGGCCCACGTGGGCTACACACATCGTCAACGCCATTAACCTCCTCCTCCTCCTTCTCCAACTCTTCCTCCTACTTCTTCTTCGACTACCACTGATACTGCTACTAATCCTAATACGACTACTAGTAGTATTACTACTACTACTACTACTACTACTACTACTACTAGTAGTAGTAGTAGTAGTAGTAGTAGTAGTAGTAGTAGTAGTAGTAGTAGTAGTCGTAGTAGTAGTAGTGGTAGTAGTAGTAGTAGTAGTAGTAGTAGTAGTAGTACTACTAGTGCTGCTGCTGCTACTACTACTGCTACTACTACTACTATTATTATTACTACGATTACTACTACGACGACTACGACTACGATGACGACTACGACTACGACTACGACTGCGACTACGATTACACTAACTATAGCACACTACTACACTACTTACTAACCTACTACTTCTGCAACTACCTACTACTAACATCACTACTACTACTACCTACTACTACTACTACTACAACAACGAGTACTAAACTACTACTTACTACTACTACTACTACAGCTACTACTACAACTACATCTAGACTACTCCTACTACTAACTACTACTACTACTGATCACTAACTACTACTACTACTACTACTAACACTGACTATTACTACTACAACCACTACATAAGTACTACTAGTAGTACTACCACTAACTACCACTAACCACAACTACTACAACTACAACTACTACACACACTACGACTACTACTACTACCACTACTTCAACCACTAGTACTACTACTACTACTACTACTACTACTACTACTACTACTACTACTACTTTTACTACTACTACAAACACTACTACTACTACTACTACTACTACTACTACTACTACTACTACTACTACTACTACTACTACTACTACTACTACTACTACTACTACCCTACTACTACTACTACTACTACTACTACTACTACTACTACTACTACTACTACTACTACTACTACTACTACTACTACTACAACTACTACTATAACTACTACTACTACTACTACTACTACTACTACTACTACTACTACTACTACTACTACTACTACTACTACTACTACTACTACTACTTACTGCTACGACTACTACTACTACTACTACTACTACTACTACTACCACTACTACTACTACTACTACTACTACTACTACTACTACTACTACTACTACTACAACACCACTACTATAGTACTAGTACTAAAGTAGTAGTACACTATTATTACTACTTTTCTTCTACAACGACGACGACTACTACGACTACTAAGACTACAACTACTACTAACTACTACTACTACTGCTACAACTAACTACTACTACTACTCCTCCTGCAATACCACACAACGACTACTAACTTACACTATATATATATATTATGCTACTGCTACTACTTACTACTACTAGCCGTCTACTACTACTACTACTACTACTACTACTACACTGCTACTACTACGACTACTACTACAACTACTACTACTAACTACTACTACTTACTACTACCACTACTACACTACTACTACTACTCCGACTACAACACCTACAACTATAACAACTACAACTACTATACTACTGCTACTACTACTACTACTACTACTACTATTACAACTACTAACTACCACACTACTATTTACTACTACAACTACTACTACGACACACTACTACAATACTACTGCTACTACTACTATACTACAACTACTACTCACTACGACCTAATACTAACTGCTACTCTTACTACTACTGTACTAGCTACTGCTACTACTCAATCTACTGCTACTACTAATAACTACGCCGACGAAAACTACTACTACTGCTATTACTACTATGCTATTACAACTACAACAACTACTACTACTACTACTCACTACTACTAACATACTACTACCACTACCACAACCACTACCACTTACCACTACCACTACCACTACCTACTACTGACTCGGCAAATGTTATGAATAACTATACTACTACTACCATTACTACTACTAACTACTACTACTACCTATTAACTAACTACTACTACTACTACCACTACTACTACCACATACCTACTTCTAACTACTACTACTACTACTACTACTTACACTACTACTACTAACTACTACAAACTACTACTACTACTACTACTACTACTACCTACTACTACTACTACTACTTCGACTACGACTACTACCTACGACTACGACTACTACTACTACTACTACTACTACTACTACTACTACTACTACTACTACTACTACTACTACTACTACTACTACTACTACTACTACTACTACTACTACTACTACTACTACTACTACTACTACTACTACTACTACTACTACTACTACTACTACTACTACTACTACTACTACTACTACTACTGTCCTCCTCTTCCGCCTCCTCTTCCATCCTCAGAGCTCTGACGGCTTGATCTGTTCGAATCCCCTGCGCCTGGACTTCTTTTTCGCAAGACGTGTTTTGCACACCGAGATGTCATTTGACGGTCCCGGGACCTACAGGCAGCACGCTCACGTCAACATGCGGCAAACGGCTTCAGCGCCATCTTTTCGCGTCGTAACAGGTCTCTGCAACCGTCCTCGTCAAAAACTACCACCCCGTACCCATCTGAGGGTGCACTACGGTTGAAAATTCGAAGCAGATCCAGCCGCAGGAGGAGTCAGGAACCCATGAATGCCCCCCCCCCCCCGAAAAAAAAACCAAACAGGCGAACAACATCAGCTCTCTGGAGATCCTCACGAGCGTCAGGATGTCCCCATGGCCTCCGGAGGTTTCTGGAAGTCTCTGGAGGTGCCCAAACTCGTAAACGTTGCGTTTGCTCCGAGCGGGATCCGCAAGGATCACTGGCCCTCGGGGCCTGGGAGCCGCGGCGCGCAGTTATCATCCGTCGAAGACGCGAGGCGGTCCTCGGGGAGCAACGCCACCCTCGGGGCCTGGCGCCCGCGGCAAGCAGTCGTCATCCGTCGAAGACACGAGGCGGGGTCCCCAGAGAGCACTGGACATTCATTCCCCTCGGGGCCTGGCGGCCGCAGTGTGCAGGGTGTGCGAGGCGGATCGGGAGCGCTTTTTCCCAATACAACGCTTGCACGGAAGGTTTCTTGCTTCCTTTCTGAGGTAACGGAGCTCCACAGCTGGTCTGGCCTGCTCGTTGCCGCCCGTCGGTGCCCGTCTCCGCCTCAGTCGCCGCTGGTAACTGAGCCCCCAGTGCCGGTCCTCCCGGCTCGTCACCGCCCGTCGCCGCCGCCGTCGCCGCTGGTGACTGAACTCTGGTGCTGGTCAGGCTGGCTTGTTGTCGCCGCACGTCACCGCCGCTGTCGTCGCTGGCAACTGAGCCCCAGTGACGGTCCGGCTGGCTCATTGTCGCGGCCCGTCGCCGCCGCCGTCGCCGCTTGCAACCGAGTCCCAGTGACGGTCCAGCCGGCTCGTCGCCGCCCGTCGCCGCCCCACTGCATTGCTTTGCGTTGCAGTCGAATTGCATTGAATTGCTACGCATTAGTTTGCGTTGCTCTGCATTGTGTTACATTGCTCTGCATCGCATCTCGTTTGCATCTCTGACCATTGCTTTGCATTGTTCTATATTTCTTTGCATTGCTTTGCAGTGTACTATGTTACTTTGCATTGCTTTGCAGTGTACTGCAGTGCTGCATGGCTTGGCACCACAGCATATAGATGCACCACGTAGATAGCACCACCTGGACTTCACCACCTCGAACGCACCGCAGAGATTGCAGGAACTCACGGTTCGGGATACACGCTGGCCAACACATTCAAATCTAATTATAGTAATAGAAATACAAATAATAGTAAAAACGCTGCGATGAGATGTACTTTGCGTTCTGCTGGCTCGCTAGTTGTGATGTCATACCGACGCGCCCAATATTGGTTTCGCCATCAGTATGCCGAAATATGACTGGTACTCCGTTGCCACAGTGGCGCGTCCTGTAGACGAAACAGTAACACGAGCTTGTGGTTCCTCGATCCTCGCCGTCGGCACCTCCGAGTCCCGGGGGAGCACGTCGATCGTTGCCTGGTCCGCCGCCTCTCGCATGGGCGTGCAGGGGGGGAGACGGGGAACTGCATGCAGGGAGGAGCGAGAGCGAGGGGCGCGGGGGTGTGGCCCAGGAGGCCCCGCCCCGCGCCCCAAAAGTGGTTCAACAAGGGACATGTGTCACTTCGGGGATCCCCAAAAAGAGCCAGACCCATTCGGGTCTCGCCCTCTTCGACTTCAAGGGACCCTCACCAGGCTCCGGGACCGTCGACAAAACGACGCGGGTTGCAAAACTTGCCCACCGGAAGGAGTCCAGACATCTGGGGGACAATTTTTTAAACAAAAAACAAAAAGGTGACGTCGAGGGTCTGGGAACGGTGCGCTGACAAACCGTGCGATGACCTCGGAATCCACAGAGGACTCACCGCACGGTCCGTCATCGCACCGTTTTGGGACCCTGGAGGCACCAGTCGCCCCAGAAATCCTCGGAGAACGAGCCATGTCCCAAAACCGTGCGATCACCTCGGACCCCCGCTGACTCACCACACGATGTGATCACCGCACCGTTTCGGGGCCACCGAATCCCAACCCACGTCCATTTTCACCCTGCTATCATGCGTTCGCCGCCCCTGGGCCAGACGATGACCCCTGAGATCCGACGTACTGTAAAAATGCAACATCTGGAACAAGAATGAAAAGAGCCCCACACCCCATCATTCTGCGGCATCTGTCGAGCCGGATCGGTCTGAGAGGGTCCCAGTGCCCGAAACTAGGCGAAAACGCCCGGTGTGAACCAAATTACAACGCCAAGATCTCAGGGACGGGGAGGGGGGGCAGCGGGGTTGGTGGCAGAAACGTGCTCCTTTCCAAAATGAGAAGCTGCGTCGACAGGCCTACAACAACCCTCCGATGGGGCTAACATGACCTCTAGGGCTAAACAACCCCTTCGCACCCGAGGGGCTAAAACACCCCCCGAGGCGCTAAAATAACCCCTCCGACCCCGAGAGGCTAACACCCCCCCCCCACCCCCCGAAGGGCTAAAACAACATTCTGGAGAGAGTGCTTGGTTTTCCCGGCGAGTCGTACTAGTACGCCGAAGTACGCCTACTAGTACGCCCCGGCGGGTCGTACTAGTACGCCGAAGTACGCCTACTAGTACGACCCGCTGCGGTCGGGAGGCGTACTCGTAGGGCCGAAGTACGCCTACTAGTACGACCCGGCGGGTCGTACTAGTACGGCTAAGTACGCCTACTAGTACGACCCGCTGCGGTCGGGAGGCGTACTCGTAGGGCCGAAGTACGCCTACTAGTACGCCCCGGCGGGTCGTACTACTACGGCTAAGTACGCCTACTAGTACGACCCGCTGCGGTCGGGAGGCGTACTCGTAGGGCCGAAGTACGCCTACTAGTACGCCCCGGCGGGTCGTACTACTACGGCTAAGTACGCCTACTAGTACGACCCGCTGCGGTCGGGAGGCGTACTCGTAGGGCCGAAGTACGCCTACTAGTACGACCCGGCGGGTCGTACTAGTACGGTCGTACTAGTACGCCTACGTACGCCTACGGTACGACCCGCGCGGTCGGGAGGCGTACTCGTAGGGCCGAAGTACGCCTACTAGTACGACTCCGCGGGTCGTACTAGTACGGCTAAGTACGCCTACTAGTACGACCCGCTGCGGTCGGGAGGCGTACTCGTAGGGCCGAAGTACGCCTACTAGTACGACCCGCGGGTCGTACTAGTACGGCTAAGTACGCCTACTAGTACGACCCGCTGCGGTCGGGAGGCGAACCCGTAGGGCCGAAGTACGCCTACTAGTACGACTCCGCGGGTCGTACTAGTACGGCTAAGTACGCCTACTAGTACGACCCGCTGCGGTCGGGAGGCGAACCCGTAGGGCCAAAGTACGCCTACTAAAACGACTCCGCGGGTTGTACTAGTACGGCTAAGCAGGCCAAAATAGCCTTTCTAGTAGCCCTCGCCGGGGCGGACTTTCGAGCATGTCTCGAGCGGGGGGCCTCTCCGCCGGACGTACTAGTAGGCCAAAGTAGCCCTACTAGTACCCCGCCGCCAGCCCCTCGAGACCGTACTAGTAGACCAAAGTAGCCCTACTAGTAGCCACGGCGGGGCGGACTTTCGAGGAAGTCTCGAGCGGAGGCCCTCTCCGCCGATCGAACTAGTACGCCAAAGTAGCCCTACTAGTACGCCCCCGCCAGGCCCCCGGGGACCCGTACTAGTAGGGCTACTTCGTGCCTACGGAGCGGACATTCAAGGATGTCTCGAGCGGGAGCCCTTTTCGCTGGTCGTACTTGTAGACCAAAGTAGCCCTACTAGTACGCCTCCGCCAGCCCTCCGATGCCCGTACTAGTAGGCGAAAATAGCCCTACTAGTAGGCCCGCCGGGACGGACTTTCGAGCATGTCTCGAGCGGGGGGCCTCTCCGCCGGTCGTACTAATAACCAAAAGTAGCCCTATTAGTACGCCCCCGCCAGCCAGTCGTACTAGTAGGCCAAAGTAGCCCTACTAGTACGCCCCCGGCAGCCCCCCGGGGCCCGTACTAGTAGGCTCAAGTAGCCCTACTAGTAGCCCCGGCGGGGCGGACATTCGAGGATGTCTCGAGCGGTGGGCCTCTCCGCCGGTCGTACTAGTAGGCCAAAGTAGCCCTACTAGTACGCCCCCGCCAACCCCGGGGCCGTACTACTAGGCCAAAGTAGCTCTACTAGTAGCCCCGGCGGGGCGGACATTCGAGGATGTCTCGAGCGGGGAGCCTCTCCGCCGGTCGTACTAGTAGGCCAAAGTAGAGCCCTAAGCTTGTACAAAGGCTCGAGCCCTCTCCGCCGGTCGTACTAGTAGGCCAAAGTAGCCCTACTAGTACGCCCCCGCCAGCCCCCCGGGGCCGTACTAGTAGGCCAAAGTAGCCCTACTAGTAGCCCCGGCGGGGCGGAATTTCGAGGATGTCTCGAGCGGGGAGCCTCTCCGCCGGTCGTACTAGTAGGCCAAAGTAGCCCTACTAGTACGCCCCCGCCAGCCCCCCGGGCCGTACTAGTAGGCCAAAGTAGCCCTACTAGTAGCCCCGGCGGGGCGGACATTCGAGGATGTCTCGAGCGGGGGCCTCTCCGCCGGTCGTACTAGTAGGCCAAAGTAGCCCTACTAGTACGCCCCCGCCAGCCCCCCGGGGCCCGTACTAGTAGGGCTACTTCGACCCTACTAGTAGCCCCGCCGGGGCGGACTTTCGAGCATGTCTCGAGCGGGGGCCCCCTCCGCCGGTCGTACTACTAGGCCAAAGTAGCCCTACTAGTACGCCCCCGCCAGCTCTCCTGGGCCGTACGAGTACGCCAGAGTAGCTCTACTAGTAGCCCCGCCGGGGCGGACTTCGAGGATGTCTCGAGCGGCGGGCCTCTCCGCCGGTCGTACTAGTAGGCCAAAGTAGCCCTACTAGTACGCCCCCGCCAGCCCCCCGGGGCCCGTACTAGTAGGGCTACTTCGTCCCTACTAGTAGCCCCGCCGGGGGGGACTTTCGAGCATGTCTCGAGCGGGGGGCCCCTCCGCCGGTCGTACCAGTAGGTCAAAGTAGCCCTACTAGTACGCCCCCGCCAGCTCTCCTGGGCCGTACGAGTACGCCAGAGTAGCCCTACTAGTGGCCACGCCGGAACGGGTTTCCGAGAATGTTTCGAGCGGGATTCCCTTCCGCCGACCGTACTAGTAGTAGGCTCAAGTGGCTCTACTAGAACACTCCGGCCTAAACCCTCCTACCCATTCCCTCTGCTCCCTCCTCCCTCTCTCTCTGTCTCTCTCTCTCTCTCTCTCTGTCTCTCTCTCTCTCTGTGTATTCCTCAGAACCATCTCTATCGGGGAGCTCATACTGGAACCAGCAACCCCGCCATAAAATAAACATGTTGCTGAGAAGCCCCTCCCACTCGCCATACCCGCTTGCGCGCGTCGCCGAGAGCCGGACCATGCGGACGCCTCATATACACTGGAAGATTATCCGAGAAAACTCTCGCCATGCCGGCAATCAAATCCGTGATTCGCGAGTTCTCGCTCCACTCCGTCAGGTGCGGCACCGAGATCCTGCCGTCCGCATCGACGCCCGGATGCAACTGCACCAAGCCCATAGCCCCCGATGGCGCCACGAAACAGCGCGGCGGAACTCCTGGGTACAACGAGCCGAACGACATGCCGACAGGTACATGGTAGACGCCGCCTTGGTAATGGATGCGCAAGAATCCGCTCAGGTAAAACTCTGCCTCCGTTCCCCCGGTGCCTCCGATCATCTTCGCCCCAGAGGCCAACGCGGGCGCCACTTCCAAGATGCGCTCCACGTCAGCGCGCAGCCTGAGCTTGTTCTCGCACGACCAAGGCAGCGCGTTGATCACCTCATCAATGTGCCCCATTGCCGAGCGCTCACATGGTCGCGCCATGGCGACGAGCGGCGCAGCGAGAACGAAACCCCACGACGTGCGAACCGCCCTGCAGGGGGAAGCAGCACATCCAGAGACGCAGCCAAAGCCATCATGGTTACGGAATCGCCATGCCACTACAGCACGAAGACGCCGACTGTGCGAATCCCCGGAAAAACATAGGCATGTAGCCCCTGACACTTACAACAGAATGGCACGCGCATCAACTAGCATTAAATGCCCTCTCGAGGTTCACTCTTCTGAGAATACATTGGAATATTGGAATACAGGCGGCCTGTAGAGCGTGGGTGGCACCCGAGAACTCGTTGTGAATATCCGACGACGCAGCGTGCCGGAGCCTCCACCCTTCCGAAACGATTGCAATGTATGGTCCCTCTGAGCGCCTCAACAATCAACAATTCAGACATATGCTCACTGCGACTGCTGAACTAGAAGCTAATGCACACATGAAGTAGGAAGCCAGACGAAGTAGGTTGGTCTCGGCCCATCCACCTAGAAAACCTGAAAATGAATGTCCGACGTCGAAGCAGAACCTCCACCCCCTCCAAAACAATTGCAATGTACAACCCCTCTCATCACCTTTACACCATCACAAGTCAGCATATGCCCACTACGAGTCCTGAGCTAGTGCACACATGATGTGGGAAGCCAGATGAAGTAGATTGGTCTCAGCCCACACACATAAAACTTCTAATAATGAATATCCGACGTCGCAGCGGAACCGCAACCCCTCCAAATTACTTCCAACCTCACCAATCAAGCATATCCTCACTGCGAGTCCACAACACACCCCTCTCCTTCGAGGCGCCACTAAAGCGAGCGCGTGCTGGCGCGATGAAAAAAACACCCCTCCTGAGGCAGCGGAGCGAGCAAGCTTCCCGCACCTTCCTCGTGGCCGTGGCCCTGGCCCTGCCTCCCCATAATCCTCTCTCGCCGCGCCCTCGGCGCTCCGCTCGCCCGTCTCACACCGCATGGCGCATCTGCTGCGCCAAAAGAAACCCTGCTTCCCGAACGCCTGATACCTTCCGCCTCCTGCCGCCCCATCCTTACTCATCGTGCCTTGCCCTAGTCCCTCATACCCTCTCCTACTCCTCTTACCTCTTCCTGCCTCCTGGGCTCTCGCCCTCTCGTTCATCCTCGCTTGCCGAGGCGACCGAAACACCGCACATGAGCAAAGCCATCCTCTCTCCTCCTTCCCTCCTCCTTCGAACTCTTCTCCTCCCCCCTTTCCTGTGGTTACCCTCCGTGCGGTGCAGCAGAAGCGTCGTAGCTCTGAGGGCGCAGGAGGTCCACAGAGACCCCTGCTCGGATTAGAACTCGCCGGAGCGACTCCTATGGGAGGGGATTCCACTGGGAACTCGAAGAGACTAAAAGGACTGACAGAAACTAAAAGGAACTAAAAGGAACTACAAGGGACTCAAAGGGACTGAAGAGCTTAAAGGCTGCAATCGTACAGAAGGGACGGAAAGGACTGAAAGGGACCAAAAGGGTCTCAAGGGACTAAAAGGGACTAAAAGGGACTCAAAGGGACTGAAGAGCTTAAAGGCTGCAATCGTACAGAAGGGACGGAAAGGACTGAAAGGGACTAAAAGGGTCTCAACGGACTAAAGGGACTAAAAGGGACTAAAGGGACTAAAAGGGACTCAAAGGGACTAGAAGGGACTAAGAGAGACCAAAAGGGAGCACATGGCACGAAAGAGACTGAAAGCAGCTAAAAGGCGACAATCGTACTGAAGAGACGGAGGGGAACTGAAAGGGACTAAAAGGGACTAACAGAGACCAAAGGGACTGATAGAACCAAAGGGAACTAAAAGAGAGTAAAAACAAAAGTAAAGGAGACAAAAAGACACCGGAGGGCGTCAAAGGAGCTAAAACGCTACCATTATACTGAACGGACGGAAAGGGACTGAAAAAGACGAAAAGCGACACAAAGGGACTAAATGGACTACAAAATACTAAAAGGGACTAAAAGGGACTAACAGGCACTACAGGACTTGAAAGGAGCTTAAAGGCTACAATCCTACTGAAGGGACGGAAAGGGACTCAAAGGTACGAAAAGAGACTAAAGGGATAACAAGAAACTCAAAGGGACTAAGAGGGACCAAAAGGGATTACATGGTACGAAAGAGACTGAAAGGAGCTAAAAGGCGACAATCGTACTGAAGAGACGGAAGGAGACTGAAAGGGACTACAAGGGACTAAGAAAGACTAAAGGGACGAAGCGAACCAAAAGGAACTAAAAGGGACTAACAAGAAAGTAAAAGGGACAAAAAGACACCGAAGGCCTCAAAGGAGCCAAAAGGCTACCATTATACTGAAGGGACGGTAAGGGATTGACAGGGACTAGAAGCGACTAAAAGGGTCTTAACGAACTACAAAAGACTACAAGGAACGAAAAGGGACTACAAGGGACTAAGAGGCACTACAGGGATTGAAATGAGCTTGAAGGCTACAACCCTTCTGAAAAGACGGAAGGAAACTGAACGGCACTAAAAGGGACTAAAGGGACTAAAAGGGAGTCAATCAAACTACAAGCGAATAAGAGGAACCAAAAGGGACTACAAGGCACGAAAGAAACTGAAAGGCTACAATCATACTGAAGGAGCGGAAAGGGATTCAAAGGGACTACAAGGAACTAAAAGGGACTACAGGGACTAAAAGAGACTCAGAGGGACTATAAGAAACTGAAAGGAAGTGAACCGAAGACAACGAACTCGAAGGCTGCACAAGGGCGAAAGAGACATACGAGAGACTGGAGCAACCTAAAACTATGAAGAAGGGACTGAACCAACAAAAAAAGACTAACGGGAATCAGACCGACGGAAGACGGAAAGGGATAACAGGGCGGCGGCGGCAGCGACGACGACGACGTCCACGCTGACGGCGACGACGACGACGACCGCAGCAGCGCCGAAGCCGAGGATGGCAGCGGCGGCGGAGCCGGCTACGCCGACGCCGACGACGACGACGACGACGCCGCCGACGACGACGACGACGACGACGAACGGCGTCGGCGACAGCGATGGCGACGACGACTTCGGCCGAAATCCGCTCGAAATAAATTCCCGGATCTCTCTCGGGGTCCCTCCCGACGCAGTTGCTTACCCCAGATCGATCTGCAGCGACCCCGAGACCCGAAAACCGCCCCCGGAGGCCGAAAACGCGGAAAATCTCCCCGATCCCTGAAGATCGAGAATCGAAGTTCGACAGATGGCCACGTCCTCGATCGCAGTTTTTCAACCCGGCTCGACTTCCAGAGGCCCCGGGAACCGAAGGCGGCCCCCTGGGGCCGAACCCGCCGAGAAACCTCCCCGAGCCCCGCAATTCGAAAATCAAAGTTTTTCAATACGGGGTCCCCGGTGGTCTCCCGAGGTCCCGAAAACTTCCCCAGGTTTTCCGTCCTGAGTCACATTCTAATGATCCTAGGGCCCGTTGAAGGCTTACGAAGGCCGACAATTGCGAAAACCGATGTACTAGACAAATCCGCCGACCCCTTGGGTCTCATCGGCGTGTCAGATGCTCCCCCTCTCCCCAAACCCCTCCCTGGGGGCCTCGTCGGGTCGATCAGGAGGGGAAGCGCCCGGCCAGCCGGCGTACACGCGCCATGAGACAACACAGAGCTCCACGACGAGCCAAAAAGGCCCCAAGAGGCTCCCGAGCCGGTCCAAGAAGCCCCGAGTCGCCGAAACATCGTTTCAAGACGCCCAGGATGGCCTCCAGACGGCCAAAGATGCTTCCAAGACGTGACCCTACGAATACGGCGGCGGTGCGCGGCTCGGGCGTACGAGTGGGGCTGCGTACGGCTACTAGTACGACTGCGACGTGCACGGCCGAGCGTACGAGTACGGCTACGTACCGGTACGAGTACGACTGGAGGGGGCGTACGAGTTCGGCGACGTGGGCCTACTAGTACGGCAGCAGAATGCAAGGACGGCCGTACTAGTACAGCTACGTACGCCTACTAATACGGCGGCGGTGTGCCAGGTCGGGCGTACGAGTACGGCTACGTACGGCTACGAGGACGACTGCGACGTGCCCGGCCGAGCGTACGAGTAGGGCCACGTACGCGTACTAGTACGACCGGAGCGGGCGTACTAGTACGGCTACGTAGCCCTACTAGTACGCCTGCGGCGTGCACGGCCGAGCGTACGAGTACGGCTACGTACGGCTACTAGTACGCCTGTGGCGTGCACGGCCGAGCGTACTAGTACGGCTACGTAGGCCTACTAGTACGCCTGCGGCGTGCACGGCCGAGCGTACGAGTACGGCTACGTACGGCTACTAGTACGCCTGCGGCATGCACGGCCGAGCGTACGAGTACGGCTACGTACGGGTACTAGTACGCCTGCGGCGTGCACGGCCGAGCGTACGAGTACGGCTACGTACGGGTACTAGTACGCCTGCGGCATGCACGGCCGAGCGTACGAGTACGGCTACGTACGGCTACTAGTACGCCTGCGGCATGCACGGCCGAGCGTACGAGTACGGCTACGTACGCCTACTAGTACGCCCCGCGGTCGTACTAGTAGGACGAAGTAGGCCTACTAGTACGACGACCGGGCAAAGCAAGCCTATTCTGACACCCCGAGGGGTCGAACCAACCCCGCCGAGGAGCCAAAAACACCTCCGACCCTGAGGGGCTAGAACACCTCCCCGAAGGGCTAAAACAACACCTCCGACCACGAGGGGCTAAAACAAACACAACAGCTCGAGTGACCGAAACAACCCCGCCGAGGAGCCTGGACGACACGGAGGCCTCTCGACCTAGCTTCTGCCGAAGGCTCCTGGCGGCCGTGCCTTCTGCTCTTGGGAGCCGGGGGTGGCAGATCGGGTGTTCTTTATGCGGCTAAGACTTGTGTCCACCTCCACTGGTCTTGGAGCTTCGGGCTCCCTTCCCCACGAACCGGAGGCGCAGTGGATATGGATTGATTGTTATCCATATCCACTGCGCCTCGGCCTTGCGCCGCCCCCTCCCAGGAAGTCCAAAACGCATGGGATAT